CGGGCAGGAGCGCGACTGGGTGTCTCGTCTAGGAGAGGACCTCGTGGCCTTCAACACGGGAGACGAAAAGGAAGGGGGTAAATGGGAAGAGAGCGCCCAGGACCCGGAGGTGTGGTACAACAGGTCGAAGACGGGGCGGCATGGCTCATGAGGAAATGGCACAGGCAGGAGGCGGAAGCGTCCGCAAAGCGCCAGCGCGCGAGGGAAGCAGAAGCAGCGAGTGCGGCCATCTCAGGACCGACGAGAAAGAGAGTCGGGGAAGCGGCGGTGGGGGGGAAGAAACGGCGACCGGGCACTGCTGTTGAAGCGAGTAGGGCGGCCGAGGCAGCACTTGTTGTGGCGAACTATGTACCCGGCTGATGTTGTTGCGCCCGGTTTCCCTCCCTGCCGTATGCCATATTCCTTTATGTATGTCCTTTTTATTGCCTTCGGCCTCTGTGCTGTGTTTCCTTTTTTCATGTCCTCCCTGCATACTCTGCTGTTTTGGGTACGTTGATCTTGCTTTTGCTGTTGCTTTTGTTTTTGTACATCTGGCTGTCTACCCATCTGCCGCCTGTTTGTCCTGTTTGCTCCGTTACTCCCATGCCCTGGTGCGTAGTGCCTGGTGCTGGTACGTTACCCTTTGATTTTTTCTTTAGGCGGGTGTGGGAAGGGTCGTCCTTAATTATTGTTATTGCTATATTTTGACCGGTTTCCGAGGGCTCTCTTCTCGAACGGTCGGTGCGGTACCTGTTAATTTTTTTCTATCATTTTGTTTTCTTGTTCCGAGTGGTTTATACCCTATTTTTGTTTTGTGTACCCGCGGCGTCTTGTGTGCCGGGTTTTGAGACCACGGGCTCCCCATTTTTTTGTGGACTATAGAGCTAATGTGAGAAAAACAACAACAACAGTAATAACAACATGCGCGCTTCGTTGTTGTATGCCCAGGTGACCCCACCACCGGAGGCAACACCCGAGCCAACGACTGAGCCGCCAACGACCGAGTCGCCAACCACCGAGTCGCCAACGACCGAGTCGCCGACGACCGAGTCGCCAACGACCAAGCCCCCAACGACCGAGCCCCCAACGACCGAGTCGCCAACGACCGAGCCGCCAACGACCGAGTCGCCAACGACCGAGTCGCCAACGACCGAGCCGCCGACGACCGAGCCGCCGACGACCGAGTCGCCAACGACCGAGTCACCGACGACCGAGCCCCCAACGACCGAGTCGCCAACGACCGAGCCGCCGACGACCGAGCCGCCGACGACCGAGTCGCCAACGACCGAGCCGCCCACGACCGAGCCGCCCACGACCGAGCCGCCAACGACCGAGGCAACGCCCGAGTCAACGCCCGAGGCCACCCCTGAATCCCGTGAGTGTTTCCGCAGAGACGCCATTGCTCCTGCTCCCGCTGGACTCACTCTGCCTGAAATGTAAGGACCGCAACAATTTGAAAATCCCAATGGTCCTCATAATTCAAGACGGAATGGCACCGTTACAAAAAGAAAATCAACCTTGTTGCGTCCCCCTCCTGGGCCACCACCTCTCCCCTGGATCGAGAAGAAAAAACACGAAGAAGGCTCGGGTCGCTGGGGATGAGTATTCAAATTATCATAAGGCGAATCCCGCACACACAAACAGCCGTCTCTCCTGTGCGGCACGCATTTGATTACCGCCCAAAACGAGTAATGGTAAGAACGCGTTAGAAAAGTGAGACCGAGGACAAGACAACCATGATATCTCAGTGCTACAATAGGAGCGAGTGTGTATACGAATGTATATCTGTTGCGTCATTGCGCTCTCAATGCGGTCACGGCAACGAAAAAACAATTGGTTCACATGAACAGGGACAAGTAGCGGGGGGAGAGACGTTCGACATAGGCAGAGAAACAGACAACAACAATAACGGAAGCCAGACTTCAGTATGGCGGGAGAGCCGAAGCGACAACAATAATGTTGGGCGACCTCAACACTGGCGAAAGAGGGGAGCTGGCTTGCTGTCTGAATGTGTGAGGTGTGGGCAAAAGTGTTCCATTAGAAAGTCGCAGAGTTCTCCCAAAGTGGAAGAAGACTGTTGACGACGCGGGAGTAGAGACTACTACGGCGACGTGCATGGCGCAGTACAAAAGTAGGAAAATGGTCACCCAACGCCGGACAGGTGGACGACAACGAATTGAAATGAAAGCGTGTCATGAGGCCAGGTGGCATGAATTGTGAGGTATGCGACATGGCAGCAAGTACACCGAAAATACGAAGAAGATATGAGCACCGCTCCCGTACCTGATGATGAAAACTTGGTTGGGTCGACCTGCAACGCCAAAATAAGCAACAAATCAGCACGCCGCGCTCATCCTGTCACCAATATTTACCACGTATTTCCCATGCCCGCACGACCCGGTTCTCAACTCTGTACGTGTCCAGAATCAGGTGGTACGTGCAGCGACGGCATTGAGGGCATCGACGGCAACGGCGTCGTCTGCTGCCCCCTCGGCTGTGGCCAGTGCGCGGGTTCGGGGTGCAGCACTGCTGGCGCTGCGAATGGTCTTACCTCCAGTTCATGCTGCGGAGGAGGGATCAAGAGTAGCGGCAACTACTGTGACGACACCGGCGTGGCCCCATGCATCTACGGCAGCGCTCCCGATGCCGACGGTGATGGCGATGATGACGATGACGGTGAGCGCAATACCACACCTGCCAAGAACCCTGCTCACTAGTGACCCAAGCGTTTCCGCTAGTCACGGGTGTAAGATAACATTTGAGTCGAATTCTCAACCGCCGCGATGCCAAAAATATACGTTTACATTGTATGTTTCCAGATGATGTTGGCACGTGCAACGATGGCATTGAGGGCATCGACGGCAACGGCGTCGTCTGCTGCCCCCTCGGCTGTGGCCAGTGCGCGGGTTCGGGGTGCAGCACTGCTGGCGCTGCGAATGGTCTTACCTCTAGTTCATGCTGCGGAGGAGGGATCAAGAGTAGCGGCAACTACTGTGACGACACCGGCGTGGCCCCATGCATCTACGGCAGCGCTCCCGATGCTGACGATGATGGCGATGATGACGATGACGGTGAGCGCAATACCACACCTGCCAAGAACCCTGCTCACTAGTGACCCAAGCGTTTCCGCTAGTTGCGGACGTAGGGAAACTACATTAGTGTGTCGAATTCTCAACCGCCGCGACGCCAAAAATATACGTTTACGTTGTATGTTTCCAGATGATGTTGGCACGTGCAGCGACGGCATTGAGGGCATCGACGGCAACGGCGTCGTCTGCTGCCCCCTCGGCTGTGGCCAGTGCGTGGGTTCGGGGTGCAGCACTGATGGCGCTGCGAATGGTCTCACCTCCAGTTCATGCTGCGGAGGAGAGATCAAGAGTAGCGGCAACTACTGTGACGACACCGGCGTGGCCCCATGCATCTACGGCAGCGCCCCCGATGCCGACGATGATGGCGATGATGACGATGACGGTGAGCGTAATACCACACCTGCCAAGAACCCTTCTCACTAGAGCCCAAACCCTTCCGCTAGTTGCGGACGTAGGGAAACTACATTAATGTGTCGAGTTTCCCACCCACCACGATGCCTAAATAAAACGGTTAGATACTATTGTGTGTTTCCAGATGATGTTGGCACGTGCAGCGACGGCATTGAGGGCATCGACGGCAACGGCGTCGTCTGCTGTCCCCTCGGCTGTGGCCAGTGCGCGGGTTCGGGGTGCAGCACTGCTGGCGCTGCGAATGGTCTCACCTCTAGTTCATGCTGCGGAGGAGGGATCAAGAGTAGCGGCAACTACTGTGACGACACCGGCGTGGCCCCATGCATCTACGGCAGCGCCCCCAACGCTGACGGTGACGATGAGGAAAATGATGATAGTTAGGAAGACAACGATGACGGTGAGCGCCACAGCCCCCTGGGAGCCCAAGTATCCTGCCCGCTAACAGCAGTGATAAGTGCAATGATGTACGTAAGAATAGGGGCCTGGGCAAATCTTGATAGCACTGCCGCTTTCATCTCTTCCAACTCATCATCGCATTCAGTTCCCAAACAAGAACTCTTTGAACTTGCCCTTTGCAAAACAGCGACTACGTGCAGCAACGGCCTCGAGCGCATTAACCACAAGGGCGAGGTCTGTTGTTCACTTGGGTGTGGCCAGTGCGGAGGGTTGGGATGCAGCACTTCTGGCGCTTCAAACGGTCTTGGCACAGAGTCTTGCTGCTCATCGCAGGTGAATGATAGCGGCAGCTACTGTGACGACGCCAACGAGGCCCCGTGTATCATTTAAGGTGACGACGACGATGACGACGACGCTGCTTCAGGCGCGGCGTGAATCGGAAAACGTCAAATGCCAGATTTCTCGTCACCATCAACCCTGTCCCGTACGGGGCGAATGTGTGCACAAGTTTTGCCAATGGCCTCTGCGGTGCGGTGGCGTTTTCCATCAGCTACGGGATCGTGCTGGTGGGCGATTCGGTGTGTTCCTATCAATCGGGGGGCAAGCACTCTCCCGAATGAGCTTGTTTTCGTTGTTCACCTAGTGTCTCGTGGAACGAGGTTTATCGGTGTAATACTATGAATTTGAAAGGAAGTGAGGTATTCATCATGTTCTTTTGCCACACAATACCTATGAGAAACTGCTGTTGGTTGCATCATGACTACAGTTCGATCTTTGGATGAAGTATTTTGTGGAAGCCAGGATATTCGTATCTTCTTATACTTGCATAAACATACGAAGGCAGTGAAGAACCTTCGACAGACGATAATTCATCGCTCTACTCTGGATCTTTTCTCTGTGGGTTACTTGTTCCGACAGGAGTCGGGATGGACCATGTTATGGTTGGTACCGAGAGCCAAGAAGGGTCTCGGCCAACGCCCACTCGTAACCTTACCCTGGCCTTGACCGAGCACCCTCTGTCACCGCTCAACATTCCTCGTCACATCCCAACAGAAGAAACTGGCCTGCCTCCGGTGATAGGCATTTACCACCTCGTCATATTGGGACCTCAGCTCACACGGAGTTGAGGGAACTTACATTGGCTTCGACAAAAAGCCGTCTCTGTACGTTTTTCTACCCTGTTCACCCAGTTTTCCAACATGGACAACAATCAGAGAAGGAAAGACAACAAGGCCGGTCCAAACCAGCAGGCGGGCACGGGCGCCGGTAGCGGTGCTCCTCAGAACCCCTCAGCAAAACCCAAACTCAAGCCTGCACAGCAGCCTCCACAGCAGTCCAGCAGTATTCGGGCAAGAAATCGTCCAACAACGGTAAAGGACCCCTTGCCAACGTTGACTCTTCGTCACCCGGCTAGAAAGACTATGCTAATAGCGTTGCACGCGACGGCCCTGGAAAAAAAGTGGCAACACCAAAAACCGAAGCGGCAACTCCAACGCTGGGGGTGGCAACCCCAGCAATGGAGGTGGCAGCTCCGGAGGCTGAGGGGTGGACCGAAATAACCGTTTCTCCGCGCTTGCCGGGGACGCGCAGGATGACCCAGCCGGTGGAAGTCGGGAAGACGGAGAAAACCGTCCGACCGATTCCACTCGCGCACTGCTCTCCGATGTCCTCGGCCAACCTCCGCAATCCACCGACACCGAGTCCTCGCCTTCTGTTTCCATCACGCAACTTCTGGGACCGTTCATCGTAGAGAGCTTGAGGGAAGCCAGAGACAACAAGGTCAAGCCGGATGACCGAATCATGAATCTCGCCATGGGAACACCGGTGCAAACCACAGCGATCATCCAGGTGAAACCACACCGTTTTAAATCCGATTTTTCTGCCGATCGTTCCGTTGACACTCGAATCATCCAGCAAGTTGTCTCACCCCAGCAGCAGCAGCGTGTGGCATGTTCACCCCCGCAAGGTGGAACTGGGCCACAACAACAGCAGACGAATGTAGCACCTTCACCCCAGCAAAGTGGAGACGTGTCACAAACGCAGCAAAATGACCTCGCCACTCACACACACGAGCAACGCAATCGCGCAACTCAAGATTTTCGCGCCCTCAAAGCTTCCGAGTTTCCGTCAACTCTGAACCTTGAGGGTCTCCCATCGGAAGATGTACCCGAAATCATGGGGAAGTGTCGCACACACGTTCGCCTCTCACTGCCCGAAAACACCTCGGATGACATCATCGACCTCACTGCCCAGAACAGCAATTATGCACGAACGACAAGTCATTATCTCTCCTCCGAAAACCTGGAAACAATTGGTTAATGCTATGACTACTCTCTTTGCGCCTGCGAACAGAATCGCGCTTCTCGCACGCGAGGCCATGACGCTCCAAGCGAGGCCAAATGTGTTCGTGGGTCTGCGAACGTTGGTGTTGGATACATGTGCTGGATGATTTTGTGTCACGCAGATTGGTAAGATTACCGTTTTGGTAACGGGCACCGCGATGATTCACGGGGCCCCTCCTTGCTGTGGGAGCCGCTCTCTGAGTACTCCCTCTGTCGTCCGTGTGAAGGACGGTCATCGACCTCTCGTAAGTTGATACATCACCAAAACAGTCTCACCCGATAAATACGTGGCGTAGGCCGCAAACAAATGAGAGTGTCGATTTCTTTTCGATTAGAGTCTCACGAACCTACTCTAGACTTCTTGCCGAAGCCGAACGAACCGCACCACCCAACATGTCTGCTCACGAACACGCACTTGACAAAGCACTCATTGCATCGTTTCAGAACGGTTTACCATCAGACCTCAGGGTAGAGGTGATTAACGAGGACGCGTCGCAAACGTTCAGGACGTCGAAAATGCGTGCCCGCAAACAGGAAGCAAACCAACTGCGTTCAACATACTCTCAATCAACCGCCTCGGTATCTTCCCTTCTCGACTCCACACTACCACCGCAGCTGAAAATTCAAGCGGGCGTACTCGAGAACAGGGTCACCCAGCTTGAACAACAAATGCGCACTTACGAGAACAGCCATGTCCCCAGCTCATCACGCGGCCGTAGTCACAGTCGGGGGCCTTCCACCGACGAGCGGGGGTCATCATATGCTGAGCGAAACCCTAACAATCGCAACCAGAAGGTTGGGTTTGACGCTGACACTTCATCTGACGGTAGCAATAACCCGGGGGGCGTCGAGTGCACATACCCCGGATGTGCGGGGAAGAGCAAACGGTTCACGCATTCACGGCAGGAATGCCGTACAGAACAACGGGACAGAAAGAGTGGCCGCGTGGTTGTCGAAATAGGTTCGAAGCAGGGATAGGATTACCCAGATCGGCACCATTCCGCGGCCTGTTTGGGAGACACGTCTAGAGCCTCATCAGCAGTAGCAGAGAGAGTAAGAGTAGACGAGAGGAATCCTGGGCATGACCCAAAACATGTCCAGCCTTTGGTGGTAGCACAAGCAGATGAGGTAACTCGTAGTACAGTTCCCGGGGCAGCATCTGAGTCCACTTGCATACGGCAATCGCAAAACACTCAGACCAGGTGGTACACTGTCACAGTTGACACCGCTGCCGATACACCACGTATCACAAAAGCAATACACGTAGCCAAGCGCAGTAAACGTTCGCGGGCCTACTGTAGCGCCACAAACCTTGTACGTAGCTACCGTAGACGGCGTTGACAGTCGAAGCTTTGGTCGCGTCTCATGCGTTCTGCCTTGCATAATAGTGATATTACTGCTTTTTATGATCGGCACGTGAGGGATACCCTGAGTACCCCACGGTGTTTAACGCGTCCTCCAAGCGCGTACGTGTAGCCGCCAGAATAAATAATCACCCCGTCGATCACATCACGATTGACACGGCATGTGACATTCCGTGTATTGCAGCAGCATTTATGCGACGTCACAACACGCTCAAACACGCCGAAACATTTCCCGTCCCCCGCGGAGTAATATCCCTGCGTAGCGCAGACAACTCTGTTCGTGTGTCTGGATACGAGCATGGTAGATCTGCTAGCAGCACGGGGGGGGTACGTAGACAGGAGCATGCGTATGCCTGAAAAAGGCTACTATGTGTGGGCCCCCTTCCCCGAATTCAGGAGGGCCACTTCTTCCCTTCCTTTCCTCGCTCCCGCGGGTGCCTAATCAGAGAGAGTTAAAGCGTGTCTTCTCCTCCCAAGTACGGACATACCAACACACCAGTGTTTATTCCCTCGAGGGAGTCCATTAGGGATGGTGGGCCGCAGAACCCGAGGGACCATTCCGGACGGCTCGCAGGCAGGAGACACAAATAGCAGCGAGCAGATCGACAGCATGCGGTCTGAGATCAGTTCGCTGACACAGCAAATGGGTCAGCTGGTGCAGCTGGTCGGAGGACTTGCTGCACGTATAGAGGAGAAGTCCGGCGGTGCCACGGAGGGCGCCGCTGAAAGCGGCGGCGCCGTGGAGAGCGTCGCCACAAGCACTGCAGGTCATTTTGGGACCGTGCAGTACGACGGGAGCGCGCAGGCAGCGGACCTGCGAAGAGAGTCTGGTCCTTCGGGACGACACAGCGGCGAAGTAGGGGGTTCAGACCTCCAAGAGGTGAGAGTAGCCACTGCTCATAATCAAGCTTGTTTCAGCAGCGCCATGGGAAGTGGTACTGCTGTCTTCGGTAGTGCGAGCGTGGGATACCAAAGCGTGAAGTACACAGCGCCCACGTTCAGCGGAGACGCCAAGAGCTTTTCTTCGTGGCTAGAGGATTTTTTGATGGCAGCGAACACAGCAAACCTTCTTGAGCTTTTCGAGGAGGGGGGGGCGGAGATCCCCGTAAACAGTGGGCAGAGCAAAGTCCAACTGTCCAGGTTTTACCCGCACGACAAAGTAGAGCTCGCTTTCCACGCGTGGAATTTCCTCCGTGGAGCTCTCAAGGACGAGAAAGACAGGACAATAATTAAGCGAGCTGAGTCGCCCCTGGGGGCGCTCCGTGAGCTGAAGGGGTTGTACGACCCAGAATCGTCCATGCAGCCTGCGGATGAGTTAAAATCCCTGACATCCAAGAAGATCCCGATGGCAGAGAATCCGCAACATGCTCTCAACAGTATGCTCGCCACCGCAGCGGCCCTTTCGAAACGGGGGCTTGATGTTAACGAAACCTTCGTTTTTCACCTCTTCTTGGATGCCCTCTCCAACGAGTACGCTATGACCAAGCACGCCCTCAGACACAAGGAGAGGTTGACAAGGAGTGACGTCCTGAAGGAGGTCACCATCGAATATCGATCGATCATGGAGAAGGTGAAGGCGGGGAAAGGCAAGGGCGCGCGCGGCGCCGAGCAGGCCTACCTCGCCGATGGAGGCGGCCGCCGTGGGCGGTCGTCGTGGCGTGGGGGCGGCCGCCGAGGGCGGTCGTCCTGGCGTGGTCGTGGCGGTGGCCGCAGCGGCGGCCGCGGGGGCGGCGACAGCAGCGGAAAAGGCGGTGGCGGCGTCGAGAAGAGAAAGGGGAATGGCTCTGGTGGGGCAGATGGCGGCAGTAGCGGGGACAAGAAGTTCCCGGGCCGGTGCTTCACGTGTGGCCGTTTCGGACACACGCAGCAGGACTGCACCACCAAGGAGAGCGACTACCTCCCGCAGTGCTCACACTGCGCAGGATGGGGTCACAGCAAGGACAAGTGCGCGACGGAGGAGGCCGTCCTGGCGCAGATCGTCCATGCCGACAGCGACGCCGACTCCGTCGACAACCAGGCCTTCTGCGCGGCGCCGGGCCTGCCAGGCGAGTGTGGTGCTGTTGACCTAGGTCTAGTGGGGGTAACGGAACTAGGCCAGGATGTCATGGTGTACGTGGCTGATACAGCAGCCACGTGCTCCATGTTCCGATGCGCAAACGCGTTCGTGAACTACCGCGAGTGTAGTGGTTGGGTCAAGGGGATCGGAGGCAACAAGGCCCCCGTTCCTCTCCTAGGGTACGGAGACGTGACCGTAGTCTTTCTGACCGAAGGCGGTAGGGTACCAGTGCTAATCCTGAACGCTGCTCATCTGCCCGAGTCCCCCAACAACCTTCTCTCACTGCCGGCGTTGGCCGAGGAAGGCCACACGTATTCCGGCCAGAAGGGGGGGCTGACTCTCACTACGAGAGCCGGGGGGAAGGTGTGGTTCCCCCGGACGGGTAAGCTGCTAA